GAGAGAGTGAACAATGGAGATTTCTGTGATCTTAAAGAAATCCAAGCCTTCTGTCGTTTCTGCTTGTACAGCTGTAGCTTTATTAAAAAGCAATCCATCATCACCATTTCATCTGGGCTTAGCATTTCAGTTTTTTCAAAATGCACTTCACCATAACACCTCAAACACAGCAAGCCCCCTCAGACTATTTGTACTCAACTCTGACAACTCAGTACTTCTGAATCATCATCACAATCAGACTCAGCTCCCATGGCCCTCCTAACAACCTCCATATCTCTGACACACCTCCTGGATTACAGCCGTGTGAAAAAGCCAGACACATATGGCGATGATATTTCCACCCTAAGTCAGCTGTGATCCAGCAGAGCTCTGGCGCTGCACGGCCGCTGCAGGGAATCACCGAAACACACAGAAAAGGCAAGCAGCTGCCACACTTAACCTTTTTCTTTTCTTTTTAAACTGAAACCATCAAGCCAAGTTGATAAAAAACAAAACGTGCGCACTCACCAAATGGGAGTTCCATACTTGAGCTGACTTGTGTGTTTACATTGACCATGTCGTCCTCTGCGTCCTCTGAAGCGTACGTTTTAAATCCACTTTTTCCTTCTTCACCATAAGGTGTAAAATGTGGAAGTTTGGCACAGGGTGCTGTAGTGTGAGAAGGGAGTTGTTGGTGCAAGGTAAGGCCGGTGTTGCTGCTGTTATCTTATTGATTTTCCTAATCTGGGCAAATGTGGGTGGGGAGGTTAAACAGTAACTAGGCTCGTATGGACTCCAATCTATATAGCAGCTGTAGCTATGGCAACATGATGATAGAAACTCAAATAGACATAAAGTTATTATGTGCTTTTCCCGCTTTCTCATCACCAAACAGCCATTTCTCCAGATACAGAGTAGGAGTAGTGAGTTAGAGCGTTGAATAAGAGTTTATAGAAAAAGGAGAGAGAAAGCAGGAGGGTGGGGAGGGACATAAAGGACAGAGAGGAGTGGAGAATGTACTGAAGGTGGCAGCGAACAAACCCTGTATGATTAATGTTGTCACCATTTTTGTTTTGAATGAGGGGGAAAAGTTTGTCATTGCTGTTACAGGTTTGGGCCAATGACATCCAATTCAAAATGTTGTTTCCACGGACTCCCTGCAAAAATAGAACTCCCACCTTCTTCATTCAACATACAGGCTGAAAGGGAGGGCAAACTGGGGTAATATGCCCATCTTACAAACAGTGATAATTTTCTTTTAAAATATATACATGTTGAATACTAATGTAATGTACTGCAAAAATTGAAATTTTTGAAAAAATTGGTTTTTCACTGATTTTTTTTCAACCATTTGTAGTTTGTTCTTACAGATTTTACTGTTTTGTTAAGTTACAAAACTTAATAACTAATAATTTAAAAAAAATAAAAAAAGTACTTCATTGTTAACCTCAAAGAAAAGACCAAAATTATACATAATGTCCACATCAAAACTTTCTATTTTCACGAATCGTAATTTATTCTTTTACAATGTATGTCCTTAGAATTACACTGTTTTGCTGTATCTAAATCAGCTTAAATACCTTTTTATAGATTTTTGACAATATTTTTATTTTTATTTATTTATTTTTTTTTTTACAGGTGTTGAGTGTTACAGTGTTCCACCATGAGGGTAATCAAATCATAACTGACTACAGGTTTGCTTTTATGAAATTAAATGTAAAATCTTTAAAGTTTTCAAGTCCTACAAACCTGGAAGGACACAACCCTCTTGGGTGAAAAAGTCTTCTGGGGGAATCTTACCTCACCAGTCATTTTAATCTACACAACTTGTTGCTTATGCATGATATACATTTTATTTTCAGATTTTAATGTTGGACTGCAAGGTGGATCGATGGTTAGCACTGTTGCCTCACAGCAAAACGGTCACTGGTTCACGTCCTGGTGAGGACACCTGGCATCTTTAAATAAATAGATAAACAGAGTCACCTTGCAATGAAATGGACTTTAATGAAATTAGCCTATGTGTAGCAACAAGCATGTCACATTTCCTTTAAATTCATGCAAGCAGCATGGCCTTTTCATCTGAATTCATAGAATGAAATGAAATGAAATGAAATGAAATGAAATGAAAAATACAACAATCATTCAGTCAGTCAAATTTGTTTTTTAAGGTGATGGCTGTTGGCAGGAAGGAATTCCTGTATCTCTGTATCTCAGAATCAGCAGCATGCTGAATGCAAACAGATGAACTTCACACAATACACCAATGCAGTGACTTAAAACAAAGGAAATATAATGTGAAATGAGATTATGTGAGAGGTCAAGAATGATGCATTTCCTTTGAATTTGTGCAAGCGTGCACAACCTTCCTATCTGGATGCAGGTGATCAGCGACATGCTAAGTGCACACAGATGAACATCTGGCAAGGCACTATTATAGTGACTTCATACAACGGATATATTTTATGTGAGATATGAGACTATGAGTGGCATCAAGCATGATGCATATCCTTTAACTTTGTGAAAGCATGCACAACCTTCATGAACTGAGATAAAACAGTGCTCCAATTATATGTAATTATCACAGATCATGTATAAAATGAACTATTCATGGGCTCTGAGTGATATTTGATGGTATTTAGGTAGAGGAAATGTTCATACACTGCAGACGATGAGCAGAAGAAATAGGTTGTGTAGCTTAGGGGAGAGACTATGGTATTGGCATGGGATGTGGAGGCGAGCATATCAAGGCCTGGACAGGACCTTCCCAGAGTACGTGTTGAACAGAGGCTCATCTCCGCTTGCATTGGTTAACCATTTCAGGCACCGACTCATGGAAGAAAAGGAACAGAAAGTATATGAGCGCTGGCAGTGAAGATCAGAGGATCTCTATCATAATATCCTTTCTCACTGGGTGGACTGGACTGAAGGAGGGGACGATTGGACAGAAAGGGCCTTGTGATGCCCTGACTCCTCTCTGTCTGAACTAATGCAAAACTCAATGAATTTGGAAAAGTGGACAGCCATTTCTTTTGCTATATTTTTTCCTGTTTATGTTAGGAAACAAAGGTGTTGTATTTTGGTTTGTTACCTCTAGTTAGGCTATCTTGATTGATTTAATGATAGATGTGAATGGCTGTGTTTGGCATTTGTCCACCCTGCAGATAAAACGTGTAATATTATAAATAAGTACCAGAACTCCACAAATTACTCCAGTGGCTGCTTGGGAGTTGGGGAAGATGTGTCTGTTCGTGGTATTAGTCTTAGACTTTAGATAAACTGTATTGATCCACAAGGGAAATTGTTTTATCACAGGAGCACAAAATAAAAATAAAAGATAAAATTATATAACAATATACAAAAAATAAAAAGGTAAAACAGCAAACAGGAAAAAAGAAAACAATACAAGATTTTCATATGTACAATTTATATATTTTTTTTCTTTTGCCAAGTAAAGAAAGACAAGAAAAGAAATAATAAAAAATAAAATAAAATGAAAAAAACATAAAAATAAATACTACTGTAACACACAAAAATATGAGTCTTGGCCTTGTCAAATGTCTTGACCATCACTAGACTACGAGAAACAATTAATAGAATTAGAATGCTTGGATGCGTGGCAGTGCATATCATAAACTTCAGAAGAACAAGCAAAAAAAATAACAGCTCTCTCAATGCCAACTGCTGTAAAACAGAACTGAAGACAAAACACCCAAAAATATTTTATTGATTTATCAAAAAAGACCAATCAGAACCATTTCTAGCACAAATGGCAGCACTGATCAGAATAATGACAAAGTTAATTCAGGAGCTCTGTAAATGTTGCATCTGTAGTTGCTGGCCACCAAAAAATGAGAAAAGTCAGCTTCTCCAACATCACATCTAATGCTCATTGATTAAGACATTATATCTTAGTTTGTAAAAACTGAGGAAAATGAAATGAGATGAATGAAATGAATTAACTTGTTAATTTAAGAGCCTGAGGTGTGCTGTTGGGAAGATTTTGTTTCCATCTCCCTCTGTTTCCAGTCCTTATGCTTAGTTAAACCAATTCACTCATTTAATCCTCAACAAGAAAAGAAGCGTCAGTAATTTTATTAAGTGTTATAATACAAAAAGGCCTTTTTTTTTTTCTTCTTAAAGTAGAAAAATTACAGCCTCGGTCCATTTCTAAAATAAGAGCTGCGAAACAGTCACTAAGGTGCTGATCTAAGCTGCTCTTTACACTTGTTTGTGAGAAACTTCCTTTGTTTGCTGTTTCTGTATATTTTACTGTGCAGCTGTGTGTGCGCGCGCACGTGTGTGTGTGATTCCCTCATATTATAGACCATAAAAGCTGCATTAGTCACCAGTTTTATGGCGGAGAAAGTCTCTGATGGGTAAATGGTGAGCTGTAATGAGGTGAAATGCAGGACAGAAAATTTCCTGCAGCAGCAGTGAATAAACACGAGTCGCAAATGCAGCGGATTATTTCAACGGCTGCACAGGGTCATCAGTTATTTATGACTTCATTAAAGTTCAGTGAGACAAAGAGACAGAAAACTACGGGTTAAACACACTTTACTGTGGGAATGACTTGACAGATAATCATGCTGAATAAATGAAAATATTTTATTTATCAAAAAAAAATCAATAACAATCCAAGGTTAGAATCTCAATAAAAGTGCTTATTTTTTAATGTTAATGCCTCTCAAAAGTCACTCAAGATCACAAAGCCATCAATAACAGTGCAAAATAATAATAATAATAATAATTGTATATATCATTAACTTATTCAATATTACTTTGTATTGATGTAGATAAACAGCAATGAGAGTTAAACTGTGTGTCATTAGAAGTTTTTTTTTTTGTTTGTTTTACAATAAACACTGTGGTAGTGGTAACTGGACAGCCGCGTCATTTTATATTTATCAAACTTGACCTGATATGCAGCTGTTGGCTTCGGCAAAGCTGAATATTTTTCCTTCTTCAATAAAATCTCATTTAAAACATCTTGCTGTGTTGATATCTTTTGACCTTTATTAGAGTTTTCTGGTTTTTGTGTTGTATGAGCACTGGTTCCTCCAGCAGGAGCCTCCATAGCTGGACGGACAGACAGAACAAGGCCTCCCGCTCTTATAGGGAGCTTCTCCCACCCAGTTTCCCCTGAAACATAAGGAAACACAATGATAAATACTGTCTAAGGTCTTGTAATGCATGTTATCATTCAGAACACATTTAAGGATGTTGGGATGGACATTATTCTGTGTCTGCATGAATAAAAAGACCAAACCACCAATTTGTTTATGCATCTCTCAGTATTTTCAGACTTTCCAACTCAGCCCAAACCCAACTCAGCTGTTCCGAAAACAACTGGACACAGTTTTTCCCTTTTGTTGCTGTTGACAGTATGTTTGTTTTGGACTATTTTCAGCTGCAGATTTATTCACATTTGGTGTTCTTGTGAGCTGCAGGACAGTGTGTTGACTAAAAAAACTAGTGTAAAACGATGAATTGTAAAGTATACACACTGTTAAAAAAAAAAAAAAAAAAAAAAAAACAGTAATGTTTCAGCAGCTGGAGTGTCAAGAAATTACTAAAAAAAATAACATAAATTTCCATAATTAAAATGGGTTTTCTGGCCTTAATTTTACATACAAACAACTAATCTATCTAACGTTATAAAAAAAAAACAATTCTTCTTTCTGGCTATTTATCACTTATTGTATCTAATTTTATAAATATTTTTACAGTATTATATTTGAATACAGTTGTATTATCTGTTTAATTAAAAGAAAATATTTGTGACATCAGAACAGCTATTTTATGGTTGTTTACGTTAAAGTTTTTTAAAATTGTTTTCTTACACAAAATATTAAAAATCCCTTTGAATTTTTTATGTTTATTGGTATTTTGATGTGTTTAAAGATAGAGAGAAATTCAAAAAATAAAATGGAAAAATTCAGTAAAACAGTTTTTTTCCGTGAGTTATCAGACATCTAAGTCATACATATGAGTGAGAAAAAACAGAGAATACAAGGCTGACCGACTACATGAGTGAAATTAATGGAATACATTGGGGTTCAAGAAAATACACTTCACCCCTTTCTCTAGCACCTTCATCCTGAAAATATAAACTAAATGTGAAGCTATAACCTGCACTCAGGTTCTGTTGTTTAGCTCATCAGTAGATTTTATTACCAGGCTGCTTGTTTTCATCTTTTTCCAACTTATTTTTTTCATCCCGGCAAAAAGTGAATGAGCATATTTTAGAAAATGCAAATGTGTTCCTTCATATTCCTCTTACTTTATAGAGTAGTTGCAGACCAGCAGTGTCGCTTCTCTCCAGGTGCTGCCAAACACCTGCATGTTGGAGCACTTCCTGACAGCACATCCCACTCTGCTGGTGCTTGCCCAGACCATCTGAGAGAAACCACCGGACGTGCTTTTATGCTCATATGCATAAAGGGAAAGTGCACACATATATACAAAGGTCACTGTGCAAAACTTTAGCCCCTTTGACTTAGAAAACAGTCTCTGTCACCACAATTCATAGCAACTATAAAAGTGGCATATTTCTTGAATCGCTATCTGTTTTTTTGTAGCAAAATTTGCTATGTAAACAGATATGCACTCACTGAAGGAGTGAAATTGGCTCAGGCAGTAGATTGTTGGCTGCAAAAGAACCTAAGTATGATATTTTTTTGATTTACCTCCAGATTCTAAACAATAAAAGTCAATTTAATACGATTATGATTCACACTCACAGTCAAACGCATCACTATTCTGTTCATCACAAATGATGGATTGGTTCTGCTAGCGAGTGGATTTTGTTTGGAATATAAAGCCTGGATAGAGAGATATTATGGCTGTCATTGGCATCTCATGCAAAATCCATCATTTTTATTTGGACTTCTTAAAAGAAGAATTAAATGAAGTGTAAATCTCAGAGGAGGAATAGTTCCATCCTCTCAAAAATGCATTATAACCACCCTCCTCCACCCAAATAGTTTTTATACAGTTCCTAAATAAAATGATGAAGAGGTGATATTTTCTGATGGTCTTTAGTGATCAGTGTATTGCTGTAAATGTGCCTGTTTCTATGTGTGGATGTAATCCTGTGCAACATTCGCTGATAATTTAGACATTTAGATTTTTATCTCTTACGCAACGCTATCATGGAGGTATCTGATCAGACTCTAACACATTCTATGGATTAACAACAGCCAATATGTCTTGATATCATGGAATCAGTCTAGGAATATATGGAGAGACAGAAGAAAGCTGTGTGATAATGTAGGAAAGCTGAAAAAATGTTTATGTTAATTTAGGTTTCTCCTTTTTTCTTACACTCTGTATGATAAAATAAATAATTTGTGTCAGTATTTTTGACATCCTTACTTCACATTTGGTTTTGTTTTTTCTATACAAACACATTTTCATCATTGTACATTGTGTAAATTTGATCTAAGCCATCACAGAAGGCAGTAAATGTACCTGAGTGTAGTGCGAGCACACAGATCCAGTGCATCTGTTGGGGTAGGAGAAATGTTGCCTCTCATTGTACCAGGAGCTGACCAGATCTGTGATGGACCAGTACCTGTCGCATCCAGCACACATTAAATCATTCAGCCTTTTACAGTGCATGCAGTACAAAACAGCTTCTATCTTTTTGCAATCACACAAGGTCCATTATTCTGTATTCAGAGCTCTGCCATACCTTCCTGAAGTGACTGACAGGTTTTGGCCCATATATTTCATGGCTTGTGTCGGACCGTGATCCCAAATGCATCGTGAAGCCCAAGAGGCAGCTGATTTAGCAAGTCCTTCATCCCACAGCTGGAACAGAGAGAGAAAGAAGAAGTAAGAAGCAAAAAAAGATCACAAAGCAACACCACATTCACAGCAAAATATGCAGGTAAAGTTGTCCCTGGCAGTGTTACATAACTATATATAAATACTCGTGGGTTATTATCACTGATGGCCTCACATGTAAGCAGCATTTTATTGTTGTAAATGACTGCAGTGGTGCTAATTCTGTTATCTCTGGAAGATCCATCACATATTTTATTTTCCGACTATCAGTAGACAGCCGCTATAGAGCCTGCAAATGCAAGAACAACTGCTTAAAATGGTCTTTTTTTCTGCACCTTTATCACACTGCTTAAAAAACAGCTGCTGAGTCTTCATGTATCTAGTCACACACATCTACAAAGCTGATCCCTGGGTTTTGATCCTACTAGCATTCATTTTATGCATATGAGTGCAATGTATTTCAAAAGTATGGATGTATATATATATATATATATATATATATATACATGGTTTGCATGTTAATGACTTTATATATGGTTTTACATAAATATGGCTGATTCTGTGTCTAATTGTGTACTTTTTATTTGATTGTCATCCCACTGGAGACAATAAAATACATCTTTGCTGTTTTTTATTGTTTGATGGTTTAATTGTCTGTATAACAATGAAGTAAAGAAAAAACATGCAAAATGTAGATGTCCAATTAATGTAGTGGAGTCAAATGTAACATTTCCCTCTGATATGTGTGACGTAGATGCTCAAAATAACACAAAATACCTCAAAGTTGGACTTAACCTGAAGGAAAATGTAGTTTTATGTTCAGACACCCTACCATTCTAAATGTAATTTTATTGAAATCAGTTTCATTTAATTTTTTTTAGCAGCCATTTACAATCATTGACCCTTTTTTTTTTGTTGCAGAATCCACTTGCAGTCGTCCTCAAATGTATTCATACCCTCCCATTAAAGAAGTAAAAAAAACAGCTGTCACTGAAATACGTTAAAATTGAAATAAGTAATAATAAATACTGCTCTTCTTGATAAAGGTCGATTTCTTTTTCTCTAAAATATCTGGCTATAAGTTAAATTGGCATAAATCAGAGGCTATGGCTGTCTCCAAAGTATGCCAACCAGCTATGGTGAGTGTAGGTCATTTTAAGTGGCTTTCAACAGGGATGAAGTATCTGGGTGTGACATTATGTGCTGACTTATCAGAAATAATGAAAATTAATGACTTCTCTCCTCACTAAAATCAAGAATAGTCTAGAAAAGTGGAAGATGTTGAATTTAACCCTTTGGTTATTGCACTGCAGTTCAATTATTTGTCAATGATGCTTCCAATTTCAATATCTGGAGAACATTTTAAGCAATACAATCAAATGATAACAGATTATCTGTGGAATGGCAACAAGCCAAGGATAAAACTACAGAAGTTGTATATAACATGAAGGGATGGTGGGCTGTCATTAGCAGATGTAGAGCTCTGCAACATGGCTTTTGAGATGAACTAACTTGTGAATCACTGCAAAAGGGAGTGTAATGATGTGGGGTGGGTAACTATTGAACAAGAGACTACTGCCCCCTTCAGTCCATTTGATGTTCTGTCACAAAGAAGCCTACGTAAAGGCCGAGAGCCTAACCCAATTTTGTAGCATTTTAAAAATGTTTGGACTAGATTTCATAAACTACTCAGGATGTCCCCTTATGAACAGTTATATTTATCACTCTGGAACAATCCAGTAGGTGGGAAAGTTGTTTTTTGGACTCCCTGGCTGTCTAGGGGCATTAGAAGTTGCGGATCGTGTTCAGGATAAAACAGGTGAAGCTTACCTGGATCTTAAAACACAGTTTAACTTGAGAGATAAATCAGAATTTTGGAAATATTTGCAAACAACAAGTGTTTTGAGTAAGATACTTAAGCAAATATCTGAACAAGACACTGTTGTACAGACTTACCTTAAACTACCTCAAAAGTGTCAGTCAGCCTCTATGTTTTATAAAATGTCATCTAGAGCAATGTATGATGAGAGTCTTAGACTTGTCTGGCAGCGGGATCTGAATGTAGACATAGATAAGGACTCACGGCATACAATAATTTCCTCTATGGGATGGTTCACAAGAGAGGCATGAGGAAAGCTCACCCATTATAAGATTATTCATCGATTTTATTTTACACCAACAAGGTTGTTCAAAATGGGCATCCTTCAGAATAATATATGTTGGAAATGTAACAGCTATGAAGGCACATTTATTAATGCCAGGTGGGCTTGTCCTGTGATTCAACCATAATGGAAGAAAAAAAAATTAAAACATATGAAGAATGGTTGGGTACACGCTTACCTGAGTCTGCTCAGCTCTATCTTTTGGGAGACAGATCCTGTCTACCCAATATGACTAAAAGTACAAGTGCTTTAGTCCTAACAGGCTTTTTTCTTGCTGCTAGAGTAATTCTTTGCAAGTGGAAAAATCCAGATCCTCTCGTCTTTAAGGAGTGGGATAGTTCCATGACAGATGTTACTTCATATGAGCTTTTAGTTGCCAAACTGCAGAATCGTAAAGAATTATACTTGCAAGTCTGGCAAGTTGTTTCGATCTTATTTAAGGAGCTAGATATATTTTGTTATGTTTCGGTTTTAATTTATATTAATTATATTGTTATTATTAT